AAAAATTCACAAAATATCTGGAAATATAAGATAATCAGTATTAACTTCTTGTTTATTCAAACTGTTGAATAAAAGCAATATTACAGTTGCGATCATGCTGCTGGTCTAAATTCATTCATAGGCCACAGGCCTGCTGATTTTCTAAAAACAGCATTTTTGCTAGTGTGCTTACTTAGGTAAAAATGTTTATTTAAAAGACCAAACAGACTGACTTGGTGTTTCTACTAGAAATATGAGCTGTGATATTTAGTTGAGAGGTTTGGAGGTTTCAGTCTCTCTGATTTGTTGATATTTTCCTGATCTTTCCTCCCAGGGTTTAACCATCAAGCCTTTAGTGAAATGGTTGAAAGTTCCTCGCAGCACAAACAGAAAACCCACCATTAACGAAGAGATCCACGAGCGTGTGAGTCAATATCACTTCCAATACTCTCCTGCCTCTTTTCTGTCTCTGTTTCTCATCACCTGTCTCCCTCTGTCCCTGCCTGACTGCCTGTGGTGAAATGTGTGAGTGATGATGTTGACTTTGCTGTCTGTGCAGTGCTGTGATCTGATGACTGAAACGTCAGCATTGCGACAGACAGACTGACGTTAGACTCTTCATTCCAATGAATTAATCATCAGAGCTCTTTTTTGCCTTTCCACAAATAGATGTGCACATATAGGCAGAGGTCACACGGCCCCTTGCCATTTACCTCATCCTCTTTCTGAAGGCCTTACACACCCTGCTGCTGCATGCACACTGCGGTACTCAAGGCTACCTGCTGAGCACTCTAAAACCTGCGCTAAAGATAGACTGTAGTGTAGCTGAGCTGGCAGAAGAGATACAAAATAAAATAGGAGAGATTCTGAGAAAATAAAGGAGAAGAGATATTCTCTTGGAAAGCAGCAGTTTCTCAAACCTTATGTGCCATAGCCATTTTTAGAATTCTTTTGTTGTTTTTTTTACATTTCATGGCATCGCTGTCGAAGAGTAAGCTGGAGAGGTGCATTTACTTGTTCTAGAGTTAACAAAAGTTATCATGATTATTATAATGTTTGAGACGAATGTCATATCAAATGTCTGTAAAGTGGGAAGATTTTAAAACAAGCAGTTCATTCATAAATCCATAAGATCTTATATTCATGCTGTGGACATACTGATATGAATTTGTGCTCATGAATCGCCAACAAACAACATGAAGTAAATTATAATATCGATATCATCATCTCATACTGAGAAAGGGAAGGGGGACTACCGCTTTACAGCATTTAATACATAAACACATACATGGGAAACTATTAGTTAATTTTTATAAATTAAATGCTAAACGATTTTTACATACATTAAGCATTTAAAAAAAAAAAAGAGGTGACAAATGAATTTCAGAAAGTGCAATTCTATTTTGACATGAAATTGCATGTAGAATATTATGAGCTATCACAGATTGAAATTGTATTCACACATTTTAACACAGTTTCTTAACAAGCTGTTAACTAACCTACAAATGAAAACAAATTACAGAGTTAACAATTAAATGCATATTTCATGTCAGTAGAAACACAAGTTTACGACACCAGAAGACAGAACACAAAACATGAAACAGTGCAGTGCTGAAAAAGGAAGGGCTAAATAAGGTGAATAGACCAACCAGATTCAATGAACTTTCAACACTGAACTGCTCCCCAGTTGCCAATATCTAGTTCATTTACAAGGAGATATTTTGAAAAATGCCCATATATTTTATGCAAGACGTAGAGTTTTTTTAATCTCAAGGGCACCTAAAAATCCTATATACATTTTTCTAATATATTTCTAATATGATTTTATTTTTCTGTATGCCTGTCCCTTATCTCCTTTCAGAAATTTTTATTAATTTATGTTTTGTTTTACTATCAAAATAGCCTTGGATGCTGACATGAAATAAAGAACCTAATAAATAAATCTAAATGCAGAGATGTAGATAATGAAATGAAATAGCCATAAATAACTTACACAAGCACTGAACTTGTCTGTTCTTCTGTGTTCAGGCTTTTGACCACATTCTGACAGCTGTGGAGGACATAGCCGGTTTGAATGGATACCATCACTGGAGGGACAAGTGAGCGGCACTTATACTCTTATGATAAGAAATGTGCTCAGTGAAAATACAAGAACTAAAACGAATCATTGTTTTTTATCCTTTAGGTGGGAGCAATTTGACAAGAACTATTTGAGTAAGTTGCTGTTGAGAAAGTCTGTGTACCATAAGAGTGAACTGTGGGAGGCCTATCAGAAAATCAACATCAGAGATGCCATCAGTGTCATTGATCAGGTAAAAGTCTTAATGTAGCAATTTATCTGGTATACAGTTTGTATGTCAGCATTATTTTTTAAAGAAATTGTATTAGATTTGGGATTTGCTTGTCCTGTCGTTAAAAAAGTAGAATGGAACGATCACGGTTGTCATGTATGGTGCTGCTTTTCTGCATTTGGACATACAGTATCTCTCCATGGCCCTTTTTTGTAAGGGTTTCCATGCTGTATTATAATTGTTGACCGCTAGATGGAGCCCACACTCAAGAAATTAGTACTAGGTAAAAACCTCACTGCTGTGCAATACAACAATAAAACTGCTATAAAACCACGTATATTTTCATCTGCTTCCACTCTGTAAAAGTGTTTATTCATTCAGCCTTACTCACAGTCGTGGATCATAGATTTTCAATACATTTTCAATTCTAACTTTTTGAATGAACATGAACTATTGTAGCAATGTTACTTAATGTTCTTCATAAAAGTGATACTAGAGTTTTTTATACTGGGGGTTCTCTGGGTTGGATGAGAGTCTGGTTGGGGGTCTCTTGGCCTTTAAAGGCTGAAAGCCCCTGGATTATGGCATTGAGCAGAGGAAGCACTGAGATCTTTTCTCAGGCTCAAGAGAGTCGTATGAGAAGAGCTGAGGATAATTCCTCTCTTTGTTAGTTACCCTGACGCCACTGTGTCTCTGCCAGTATTAGCCCTTTGAAGGCATCTGATACCTGTCAGCTCCAACATCAAACCAATCTACAAAAATACTCAGAGATGGCATCATACAGAGAGAGAGGGGGGGGGAGAGAAAGAAGGGCCTCCAGTAGAGTGATGTATTTAAATATGAATGCATAGAAATGCACGTCATAATTGTTACACACTTCCCACTTGATTCAATCTGATCAGAAAAGTTTAAAACACCTGGAATGTTAGTCACGCAGCACTTTTGTCCCTGAGCGAGACCATTTCCTGTACCCTTGAGTTTCATAGAGCTTGGCTTCCTGAGAGGAGTTATCAAGCTAATATTAGCACAAGATTGAGAGATAGAAAACCTCTGTTCTTATTCGGACCACCCAGTAAAAGAGGCACAGAATCACTCTTTTAATATGGGCAGGGTAAAAACTAAATGTATCAACCAAAACATGAATTTAAACATTTTTAAAAAAGAGAGAGTTTTCTTTTACTTTTGTTCTTGTACATTTGTCACATTTCTGCATGTCTTTCCCACAGGTGTGTACTTACTTACTGTGTGTATATTTTTAATGAACTATGAGCTCATATGTAAGAGTGCAGACCAGACAGTGTTTAAACATCATGCTTATCCACATCGAGAATGATTAGTCACCCACATGGCAGAGTAATCTGTGGTAAGACGAACCATCTATATGGAGAATGGAAAACAGAGAGCTGGTCTTCATCTATATCAGGAGCAACATTTACATTTAGTCATTTAGCAGACACTTTGACTGAAAACTGACTGAATCATTGAAAATGAATGCACACTGAAGGTGTAAGTGCACTTTGCAATATGGCTGTATTATCATCTCAGGTGTGCATTATTTTCAGTAATGCAAGAACTGGAACTGCTTGATATCTAGGCAGTTATAGAACATTAATCAATAGCTTAATAATCTACTGTATATGTCTGGCAGAATCAGAATCGAGCATAGAGTTAGTATTTGATTCTAGGGAATTTCTCTGTCTCTCTCTCTCAGGGTGGGAATGTGTTGACCTCTGCTAGACTCTCTCTGCCTTCCATGGCCAGCAGAACCTCTTTTCCAGAGGTCACAAATGTTACCAACTACCTGTGAGTATGTGAATATGTTTGTGTTTCAGGACATTGAAAAAATATTCTCTTAATCAATGTTTTTTGTTGTCCAGTAAAAACATTTAAATGTCCCTAAAATAACATATATACACCACTGAATACACACTACCATTCCAATGTTTTATGTCAGTAAGAACTGTAATTTTATGAAATATTATTACAATTTAAAATAACTTATTTCTATATTTTAAAATGTATTCCTGGGATAATTTTTCAGCAGTCATTACTCCAGTCTTCAGTGTCACATGATCCTTCAGAAATCATTCTGATATGCTGACTTGGTGCTTAAGAATTTTTTTTTTATTATCAGTGTTGAAATCTGTTTTTTGGGAAAGGAAACTATCATACGATACTATCTTGTCTTACATGTTAAGTGTAACAAACTAAATTTGTACTTAAAACAATATAAAACGATTTTAAACTTATGTTAAAAACATAATACTGAATACATCAAGGAAATGTTTTGTTTAAAAACAATTTAGACAACACAAAACAAAAATACTGATTTAAAAATTATATTTTGCATTGTTTTATTTTTTTGAATGTGTGTTAGTGTGCGCAGGGACATAGGGAGACATTTTGTGCATATCTGTGGTGTAAGTGTACATGTGTTTACATGCATGTTGGTTCCTGTAACTATCTGTGTCTCTGTGTGTGATCCCTCAGGAGAGAAAATGGCAGTGGGGTATGTCTAGACCTCCAGGTGATTGACACAGTGCCAGGAGCCAAGATAGAGGAAGAGCTAGAGACACATCATGTACTTGCTGGAAACCTCTACAAACCCAGGAGACGGGTACATATCCTGCCATACACACATCCTCTCACCGCTCAAGCTCTGAAGCATTATATTGTATCAGTGAAATGGGTGACACTTTGTATGATGTGTTTGCTTCTGTTGACCTCTCCGTCTCTATTCCTGCAGTACCAGTCCCACTACAGTCGCCACTTCATGACAGTGGGTGAAAAAGAGAGACAGGACAGGGAGGTGTTCCAGAGGAATATGCGCAACCGTCTGGAGTCCTTTAAATCCACTCGCTACAAGCGCCACAAGAAGGACCGCAGTCAGAAAAAGGCAAGGGCTCAAAACTGCAGCAAAACACTCTTATGTTGAGTTAGGTGGACCTGAGGGAGGCCAAGGTAGGCTAAGACAGACAAGTGTGTATGTGTGTGTGTGTGTGTGTGTGTAAGGTCAGCTGCCCAAAGGCAATGTAGAGACACGGGTAATGTTTGTAGTTACTGGTATGTGTCATGAGTGATGACTAGCTAATGTGTGTGTGTCTGTGAATGTGCAAGTGCATGTTACCGAGAGAGAGAAAGTGAAAGGGAATGTTACAAGTATTCTTCAATATTAATACTTTTATTCAACAAAGATACATTAAATTAATTAAAAGTGACTGATATAAAGATATAATGTTTCATTGAAAGATTTCTGTTCCAAATAAATGCTGTTCTTTTGAACTTTCTATTCATCAAAGAATCCTTAAAAATGTATGTTTTCCACAAAAATATTAAGCAGCACAACTGATTATTACATTTACATTTACATGTAATCATTTAGCAGACGCTTTTATACAAATGAGGTAGGGTGGCCATGTGTGCCGATTATACGGGACACGTCCTGGCCAGGATTTTTATATTGCCTAAAACATCCAAAGTAGTTTGACCAATAACATGCAGGTATTATGTATAATCGACCAATCGTGGTGCGTGAGAAGGTGAGATCTACAGAGAACGATCAAAGCGATGCAAATACGTGCACGTGTTTGTTTGTTCGTTTGACTTGAACGCGGCTGCGCACCGATCATTGAATGACACCAAAGTACCGCGAGAGCATTCGAAAGCATAAGGAGCCGTCTGCTCTCCATAGCTCTCGTGAATGTCATACAATGATCGATCTGCACAGTGCAAACAGCCAAAACCTGGATATTTTAGGCAATATAGAAATCCTGGCAAGGATACGGCCCGTAAAAATGGCCCGTATGGTCACCCTAAAATGAGGAGAACAATAGAAGTAATCAGACGAACGAGAGAGCAACAGTATACAAGTGCTGTGACAAGTCTCAGTTAGTCGTGCACAGTACACATAGCTAGGGTTTTTTTTAATAGAATGGAACAGTGTTTCCTAGCAACGACAACCACGCTACAATCTAATGAGAACAGAAAACAAAACCCTTACAAACTGCTGTCCTCTTCTGCTGCTCGACTGCTTCTTATTACATTAATACTAATGTTTCTTAAGCACCACCTCAGCAAATTCGAATTATTTCTGAAGGATCATGTGACACTAAAGACTGGAGTAATGGCTACTGAAAATTTAGTTTTGTCATAGCAATAATTAATTACATGAAAAAATATTGAAATAGAAATTTTATATAATAAGTTTAATATAATTTAACTGTTAATAAAATAAATGCAGCTTTGGTGAGAAAAAGAGATTTCTTTCAAAAGCATTAAAAAATCTTACATATTGTATATATACATGCATAAACACACACACACACATATATATATATATATATATACAGTGGGTACGGAAAGTATTCAGATATATATATGTGTGTGTGTGTGTGTTTATGCATGTATATGTGTGTGTAAATAGCTTATTAAGCTATGATGATTAAGATAAGTTTACTTTATTTGTTTAATATTGTTTTACAGCGGAAAGGGTCAGATGCTAAAGAGCAAGACACCAATGACAAACCCCGACGAAATGTCAGCTGGCAGGACAAAGGTTGGTTGTCAAATTAACTGTTAATTAAGCTATGTTCTGCTACTAAAAGTTCCCAGTGCATTGTGGGTAATATGTTTTTGCACACGTCTTCAGACCCAGCTGTGGTTCCAGTGGTATCTGAGGAGGATAAACATGATCCTTCTGAACCAGATAAAGATGACGATGTAGGCATCACTTTTGTGGCTCGCAAAGCCCCAGAAACACCAAAGGAGAGACCCAAATCAGGTGAAATATGATTATGAGAACTGATTGTTTCCTGTCCCCAACACTTCTATATCTTCTTGTGTCTCTTTCTGTTCTTTCAGTACCAGCTGCACTGGATGTTTGTCAGAGCCCAGTTGCAGCCCCTCCATCGCCAACATGTGGAGAGAAAAACCTGCCGTGGAAAAGTGGCATGGGTTCCCTCCCTCCATGTGTGTCCGTAGAGGCAACTAAAATTATCCCTATAGACCTGCAGCAGGCTTGGAACCAGAGCATCTCCTCTCTGGAAAGCCTGGCTTCTCCTCCAGCACCTCCGGAGCCTCAGCACCCACGTGTTAGCACCCTCTCGAGGCTGGGAGGACCCCTGCGGACCCCAGCGAAGGGAAAAAGTAGTGGTAGTGCAGGATCAGGAAGTAATACAGGTTCCCCAAGTTCAGGGCAGTTCAAGTTCCCTACAGGGAAGGAGGAAGAGGAGGAAGGTGCCCTCTCTCAGCAGCAGCAGGAAATGCAGCCGCTAATGTCATCTTTGAGGCCGCCGCCACCACCTCCTCCACCACCTGCCGCGCAATCCGCCGGAAAGAGAAGGAATCCTTGTGTTTATCTTAGAAGTCTGGTGACAGTGCCACCTTCTGGTGCGGAGCCACAAAGCAGGAGGCCGACCCAGCTGTAAAATCTCCCTCTTTCCTGTTTTATCTTTTCACGACCCTCAATCACCTTACTGCAGACATTTACCTCCTCAGGCCAGACTTTGTTTTTTAGAAAGTCAGTAAATTCCTTTCTAAGAGACTATTAATTTGTTTTTTTTTTAGCGCTAATAGGTTACGTGGGTTTAGAAATGGTTGGTAGAGTTTGCTGAGGGTCCAATCCTTTGTGTACAGGGCAGTTCCTTTTACAGTTCCTTTTTTTCTTAGTTTGAAGTGATCTGCCCTGTATTATGTACCTCTGCATATGTGATTGTCAAAATGTACAACCACTGAACATATATAAGGCTAAACCACATTCCAAGGACCTACTGGGTGTGTCTGTCAAACAGTGTTTTTTTCACTCACATGAAAGAAAAGAAAATCACTTCATGGTTACTCATAACCTCACAGCTTTAATCAGCCAATCCATCTTAAAACAAAAATGAGTAATACTGAGGTCTTCCCTTTTCAGACTGGGATGACAAAGTAACACATTATAGAAAGCACATGAGGTTAAGGTCACACGTCTTCAATCAGAGCCATTATCTCTCAGTGGGTTATAAATATGCATAACAAATCCACACCCACAGCATTGGGTGACAAAAAACCCATGATGGTTGTCATCAGGAGCACTTATGCTGTGTACAGGATATATACGCTTCTATGCAGCACATTACCTGTTCTTTGTTGTTGTGTTTGGGCAAAAAAAGCAAGGTGTGTTCATTTATTTTGTATTTATGTATCATCTTCATGCCTTTTAATGCTTTTGCTTTCTGAATAACAGGGTTTTGTGAATCTGCATTTTAATCTACAAAGCTATATTCATAGCTGTTTTAATAACCAAAGTGTATAATGTTAATGTTTAACGTCATTTTTGTCCATCATTAATTATGACACTATATTTATAATCATGAATAATTAATTAAGGATCATCCAAATTTTATGTGCTTAATCAGTAGTAGGGGCCTGAAAAACTGTCACCATGTAAATTGTGTGCCTAATAATATTGTAGGTCTGATGTGATGCAAAATGTCTACAGAAATAATTTACAGAGGCAATGCACAGACTCATCTATATAATCTAATGCACTTATTTTAATGAGGTTTAGCATGATCAACCGTATGCAGGCACAATGACTTGGAGATGGATGTCATTTTTTGTTTTCTAAATATGTCGACTCTCGGTCTGTTGCTTTATACCACATCTTCATCCTACAATGGAACAGAATTTAGGTTTTGCACTTGGTTTAGCCCAATTGTACCTATGGTGTTGTTGAAGCTGCTGTCCTATTGTTTTGTATTGCTGTGTAATTCTTTGTATGTACTGATGATTGTTGTGCCTTGAGAGGGACAGTGGTAGATGTTGAGAAAGAGGCCTTGTTGATCTTTATTTTGCCTGTAAACAGTATGAAGTGGTTTAGTGCTACTGTATGTTGTCTTACTTGAACTTGTGTTAGCAGAAATGTTGCCCCAGTCATTTGACCCCATTGAAATTGAACTGGAATTAAATTATCCATCCATTAAATTTAAATTACATTTTAATCTCTTTTCTCCCAAATGTGTTTATTTTTGTAGGCATCTGTATTAGGTATCTGTGTGCCAAATATTGAGTTTGAATAGCTTCCTGGAATAAAGTTAACACAAGAGAGGACAGCGCTTTTGAATGACACTAGTGTTGTCTCATCATTTCATGTTAATTTACCTTTAATGTTTAGACAAAAACATATCATTTATATATTCCAGACTGTCATATTTAGCTGGTCTCAGCTGGCTTTTCATTCATTTTAGGTAGATCCTCAGGAGGCCCATTGAGGGAACCCTTTGGTGAATAATGAAGTTATATTCCCCCTTCAACCCAGGAGTCCCTGTGGTTTAGGCAGGGCTTCCCTAGACTGCCCTCAAAAGACCACAGCGCATTTATGTGCTAATGTGCCATTTTCTCTTCCTCAAGCCCTGAAACAGATCTCAGCCAGCGATGAAGTCACCGGCGAGAGAACAAAAGTTAGATTTGAATGTGGAGACTTAAAACCGATTCCACCAAGTGATTTTCCCACCTAACTAAAATATCAGGGTTTTCTGTTGTTGCCCCTCAGAAGCAATCTTATAGATTTCTCAGGTCATGTTCATAAATAACTGTTTCAATGAGCTCTTTAGGCCTTTTGTTGAGTTTGAGAAATGAAACTACAAATTTAATTTGTCTACTAATGTCCAACAGTAGATATACAAGTACATCCTCCGCAGGAGAATTCTGTCATTTTTGTCTGTTTCTTTCCCTAACTGTCATTTTTGTCACATATTAGATTATGTATTGAGCTTGATAACATTCTTTAATGGAAGTGGCATTGATGAAAATCAATGATATTGTAAAAATGTTTGAAATTAAATATCCAATCTTCCTGTGTTGTTAAGGCTTAATTCAAAGCATTTTATATATCCTACACCCAATTAAATATTGTTTTGCAGTAATTTGGCCAATTTACAGTTTTATTGGAAATATCGCAAAAGAATGTGTACTATTTAATTTCAGCACGCTCTTTACTCACACTGTTATCTACTAACAAAATAATTATGATGGTGCATTGGCATACCATTGGCCAGGGGTGTTCTTAACTTTGCTAAAAATCGTTCTCTCAAGGATTATTGGCATGCAATATTTAATAAATAAAAACGGCATCAAACGTAACATGATAAAGGACACCATAGTGTTCAAAAATATTTCAAACATAAAATAAAACATTGATTATTCAAAATAATCAGCATATAAATTCTTCCGCCAAGTAATATAGGTCGCTGTTCAGTGTTGCACAGCAGCAGTTTGGCGCATTAATCTTGCGACAACCGTTGGACGTGCATCATCCATTCGGAATGTAGAGCCAGAACCATCCGTTAAACAGTCAATGTGTAACGTATTAAACAACAACCTACATAGTTTAAATATCGAACTAGCAATGTAGCTAGTTACTATTACAGAAGTTGCACTTGTTTTGGATTTATGTCAACTTGTCGACCTCTGTTTACATTGTCACCCCAGGTAACGTTACAATCATCGATCGCCGTCTATATAATGGTTTCAAATAAATCACAAAAATGAGCAAGCAGGTCTTAATTAAATATTACAGTAGTTAGTGCTAGTGCAAGTAAATATGAATATTATTACTTAACCTGCACAATTTGTAGACTAAACTCATTATATTTAAATGGTTAGAGAGTATGTTTTTAAATGTATAAACACGCGCTCCTGGTCTTATCTGTGCGGTCTAGTGATTAGTGTTGGGTCGTTCTTGAACGATTCGTTCGTTTTGAACGAATCTTTAAAGTGACTCGGGAAGAACGAGTCGTCTCGGGGAGTGATTCGTTCAGTCGCGCATGCGCAACTTCCTATAGGTTCTGTACTGGAATTAGTCAAGTAGTTCACCTGGTTCGAGTCTTCGGGTTTGAGTCGTTCGTTCATCACGTGACAGCCCCATAAGCCCAAACCTGAAGACTTGTCAGATAAGAGCTGAGGTGAGCTAATCATACACTGAAGACCCCGGTAAACAATGAATTAATCTTTTCTGTTTCTTATTGCAGTTTTGTATTGTTTGTAGTATGATCAACGTTTGCGTAAGTAGTAGAACGAAATGACTCGAAAAAAGATTCGTTCATTTTGCTGAACGAGACTCAAAGGTCCGAGTCGGTAAAATGATCCGAACTTCCCATCACTACTAGTGATGTCCGAATGAGTCGTTCATTTGAACCGATACCTTTAGCCATTCGTTTGGAGTCACTGGTCTGGACATTGTTTAGCCGTAAAACTGTGAGATCACGTGATAAATCGGTTGTCCGAACGAACCGATTCTGTAAGAACCGGATTGGCCAGCTGTAGTGGGTATTCCTACGTACAATGAGATGCTGTAATAATGCGTTTGATAATAAATGTTGATTCCTTCTTTTGGGTGCACTGACCTAAAAACATGTAGCATTAGCTCTGTTGAATCTGGTAACTGAAAATGTGGTTGAAGCCACAAGCTCCTTGGGACTTTTGTAAAGGCGTGGAAAAGTGCCTGAGAAGTGATTTAGAAGAATGTAATTGGAGCTCTTTAGGGCAAAGGACACGAGCTCAATCAGGAGCCATATTTCTCAGACCACAGAGGCCTGTTAGAGGTGATTAACTTGTACATTTGAAAATTGTTTCCATTTGTTGGAAGTGCCTTGTCCTCCACCCCTGTAATGACGATGGCAAAGGGTTGCTCCTTTTATGAGACACGTTGCTGCACACCAGGTTTTTCTTGTTATACGATATGCAACAGTATATCGTATAAAGACAGTATAAACTGTTTGCATTTGTGCACATTCTTTTATAGTAGTCATTGACAAGCACTAATGTGACTCGCAGCTCTCCCACACCTTTTGACAAATGCATTTCTGTTTTTTTTTAGCATTTTATGGATTACTCAAAGTAATTTCTAACTTGAAAATATTATAAAGGTGATGGATTTGTTTTTGTTTTTGTTTTCTTTCCTTTTTTTATTTTTTATTATTTATTTAAATCTGTACTTACCAATAAATATCAGCAGACACCAGGAAATGTTGTGGTATAAAAAAAGCCTGGAGGGTGTTCCAATTTTCATATTACCTTGAACTTCTAATGTAATTAACCCACCTGGCCGGTTAACTAGTTGGCAGGTAACTGTATAAATCACACTAATTAAAGGGTGTCAGCATATGTACAATTATATGTTTGTGAGATAGAAGTACAGATAGGAATGAATGATATTTCCAGATTTTTGCAGATTAAAGCACCATATCAAATATATAATAAAAGCAAATATATAAAAAAAACGTTTTTCGAAAAGGAAGCTTGTGGGCTGCTTCCTCATATTCTTGTTTATTTATTTATTTACTTATTTTTATTTTGTGTGATTGATAAACTGATGAACTGTATCTCAGACTCAGTATATATATATATATATATTTTTTTTTGTGTGTGGCTAAAATGAATCAAGCAACGAGTCCCAAAATTTTCAGAGCACATTTGGTTCCAGTGGCAGCCTGCAGATTGTGTGTTTCTGGTGCACATTAAACTGATCAAACAGTAGTGTGTGGAGCTCACAGTAGCTGCCATCCCTTGTGCAGGTCCAAGAACGAAGCTATTCTTTCAGGGCTTAATTGTGGGCCTGTCCGGGGTAGATTAGAG